CGGACAGATGAAAGCCTATAGCAACATTAATTGGTCCGCTTGATCATAAGTATTTTGTTGTGTTTTCCTTTATATGCACATTTTTTTGACAATCGTCTCCTAGTTTCAGTGAGAATCCTAAAAATAATAAAATTGTATGTTCACTATTGAGGACTGGCAAAACCCCACCCCTCCCAAAAGAGCTACAGTCCAGAGTATTTCGTCCGCTGTGTCCTTCAATAATCATAAATGTTCCCCGAATTTTAGGTAAACGTTTTACAAACCCTCGTATGACCCGACTCTCAATCTTGAACGACGAGTACACTACAAAATCTTATTTAAAATTAAGAGCATTTGTAAAATCTTAAAATATTAATGAAAAGATGTTTTTGAATGATATTATTAGACGAATATATGTATTTAGGCAATTACACAACGCTATCATTTTTATCATTAAAACCTTCTCGGTTGTTTTGCATAGGATTTTGATCGCGTCGATTTTTTTTCCTCTCCCTTTTCTTTTTTTTGTCGCTATCAAATATCAGACGTTCAAGTATTTCCATTTGAATATTCAAAATAGATGCGATCGCATACATGTGCTCCACACGTTCTCTGTACTCTGCCTGTCGAGTTTCCTCATCCTTATATTCCTCAACTTTCTCCGTGCTGCTCAATACACGCCTTTTGGCTCGAGCTTTCATTTGTGCAAGTTTATCGACGTTATCCAAGGTGTGTTGGATATTCTCAGCCACAGTACGATTGTGGCGTTTGTATTCCTTTCTTATAAAAGGCAACGACTTATAGAATCTATAGACACCATAATATTCCACACGCAAGAATTGCCAAAATGTGATTTCTCGCCTGAAATTGGCATTGCGCTCAGACTTTGCAATCGTAAAATAATCATGGATCGTTGTAATAAACACATTGACTAGCAGCACAGAAACCACAAATCCTAAGGCAGCATACATTAACATGCCAATAAATTTGCCACCATGAAAGAGATCCGATGGATTGAGCTGCTGACTGAAGCCAACCGAGAAGCACAATGCTGTAATAACACTGCTTACCGGTTGAACAAAGTGGGGGCTATTATTGCCGTTGATGATAGTAAACGCAATGCCAAATGCCATTAAGATGATTAGTATTGCCAGGGCAGTGATGGCCAAAGCCTTCCAGGCAAGATACAGGGTGTTCGTAAATAGCTGAAATACTTTCGAGAACTGCAACACTTTCCACAATCGCAGCGTAGTTATGCAGATTAGAAATCCAGTCAATATGTTTGTCAGCATATACAAGCGCGCCGGCTTTCGAAAGTCGAGAAATGACATCTTATTGGAGAACGCCAAACTCTTCAGCAGCGACGATATCAGTATTAAGCGTACGATGATAACAAATAACAAAAAGACATTGAGAAGAACAATTATCAAGTCCAGTTTGTACCACATGCTCTTTAGCTTGTCAGGCTGATACCACAAGTTCACGATGAATGCCTGAATGAACTGTAATACGACTACCAAGTAGACGACCAACACCAGGATCACGATGTAGTGTAGCTGCAATGCATCATTAATCATCGCAATACTCTCACATGTCACATCTGGTATAACACTGCCAAATGGCAGTTGTTCCATTCGCAATGTGCACACGCTGAACATATCTGCATCCACATTGTAGAGGGTAAAGTCCATAAATACCGCTGACGTGTTATAGTTAAGCCATTGGTTATCAGTAAGAAAATCAAGTATTTTCATGCTGTTCTGCCTGCTGCGGGCAAGCAATGCGACGTACCCACAAAGTTCCGGATAATACAGAAATTTACCAACGTGATCAAAGTTTAGAAGTACGCTGGATGTAAAATCGTGTTGCCCATTTATGGGTAGCCACGGATCGTAGACGCGCCAATATTTGTGGGTATAGAGCAGTCGTTGGTAAGGCAACTTCCAGCCGGGCATATACATAAGATCTGTAAATTTGGGAACACCCCAGCCGAAGTCCTCTTTGGCCAGGCGCAACTGGCGCAGCCGAACGACGCCAAGTATTTTATTTTGTTCGGAGTGGACCCAGGATGCGCCCTCGCTCGTACCTTCGTTGAAGGCATCGACTAGCGATGACTTTACAAAATCGAAAAGCTGATTAAGGTGGTTAATTTCCTTTAGTCCAATATATTCGGAATGATTACGCATGAGCAGATATTTCATTTTGGCCGTGTTGTAGTACATTAGCTGGTCACGTGGCAACACCACCACGCAGATTAAGATGAGAAAGTACTTCCCATAGAGCAACAGATCTTTTACAATATCCTTGTATTCATGGTTCAAGGTCTGGTTGCGGTAGCGCTCGGTGATCAGCATCTGAACGCGCATACTGCTCAGCCGTTGCTTGAGGAAATTGAGGCGGTTATAGTCCTTTTCGTCCTCTTTTGTGTCTTTGCGATGCTTGGCCATGCTTCGTGGCCAAAAAGCCATATCAATGGAAATTATTAGATATTTAATTGGATCTGCGATTACTGTTTGGAAGAACAATACAATCAGTATTATCAGTAGAAGATTTTTCCCATTTGTCGACTCGTGCTCAAAGCCCGAATAGGTAATCATCAAAAACACGCATGTCAGTATAATAAAAACTGTGAATGCAAAAAACCATTTATGTCTTGTGTGTCTGTCCATTGCTTTTACTTTATTCTAGAAGTATTGCAAAAATGTTCCACTCGTTTTTAATTTGAACAAAACAATGTTCTTACTAGGGAAAATATTAAAAAATATTTCAAATGATTTCCAGACAAATTCGATCAACTTTTTTACAAATTATGACTGACATGTAAGCAAATCTAATTTCTCAACAAACTGAAACTGTCAACTTTTCAGTTATCATTAATTTGTTCGCAATAATGTATTAGGCAGAGTACTGATAGCATTAAGCAAATATTAGCATGCAATATAACGTACACGGTTCTATTCAGCGAGAGTACAAGAAGCGCTGTAACAACTGTAAATAACATAATCTTAACCTGCAATAAACTCAATTTTAATGTGGAGACCGAACTGAGTAGTCCTGTGATTGACAAGGGCAGAGAAATGGGTAAAGAAAGACTCGACCAAAATCTCAAAAATGTCATTGTAAATTGCTTAAGTCAAGTTGTGAAGCTCAATAAGCTTAACGATGCAGCGCATTATTTTCCCAAAAAAAGCTGTTTATTTAATCGTTTATTTTCTACGAAATGTACCGAATTTGATGAAATCAGACATTTTTGCAGGCCTCCGACACTCTTCTATTTAATTAAATTAAAAGTAATTAAAAGAAATAACAAAAACAAAAGAACAATTTTTAAAAAATTTTAATTTACATTCAATGCAACCGTGCATCTTTAATATGCTTGAGTCCAGCATTGCGTCAGTCTTAAATAAACTTTTGTTAAGTACACAACGCTGGTGGTACTTCTTTATATTTTCCTATCCAGGCATTCCCTGGCACGTGGAATCTTCGCTCTAACACTAATAAACGATAAGTGATAATAAAGTAATAATAAACAATCATTTTAACATGAATAAAAGTAGACATACAAAATATAATTGGCATATTAACAAAAATTTTAGTCTATTTCACCGTTATTGTTCACATTCTAACTCTTTGCGCGGCGGGGGTTAACAACAATAATTGGAACCAAAACTATCTGTCAAAGCTGCGCCCTTCCTGTCGAAGCGATTTACATGCAGTCGGAGCGCTTGTTAGCAGCCGGTTAGATATGCGGGCTATGCATAAAATAAGATTGTTCTACGCAGCCTCTGGGCAACGTACCCGCAGGTGCCAAATGAGGACACTTCAAATTCCGAACGTGCGTAGCCTTTTCTTCCAGTCCAGTCGTATATTTGCTGCCGCCACTTGTTGTCCTTTTTGTGGTTCCTTGTTTTTTATCCTGGCTTTGGACACTGTACAAAATCATGCTTTTATGTTGTTTGTCCGTCTGTATGAACGCAACTGTTTCCGACCCCCTTAAAGCTAGAGCCTTGAAACTTGTGCCGACGGCAGACAAAGTGCCAATCGATAATATCAAATCGATAAAGCCACATATCCTTCACAATTTTAAAGCTACAGTCACCAAATTGTGTTGGTAGGTTGTTACCGATGTCCTTCAACAATCGGCATATGCTACGCCCATCTCGAGCACCCCGCCCATATTTCATTATAGAGTCACCAAATTTGAAAGGCAACTTGTTGGTAGCCCCTTAAAATACCGTCGCCACAAGGACCTTAGGGCATAAAAATCAGAAGTGCACACAAGTTCCTCAATTTTGCGTGTGCATAAAATGTTATATGCGCTTCTCACAATAACTGTCACAGGTCGCAATGGGCCTGATGCAGTTGCGGCGAATTCGCTCTCTTTCGCCCTCTCTCTTTCTAACGCAGGTGTTCAGCCATTTAAGCGTGTCTGACACACATGTCCATCAGGACATGTGCCGTTAGTGTGTGAGGAGTATTGTGGGCGCAATATTGTTGTCCATACTCACACTGTCGGCAGACAATGGTTGGCGCCAGCAAAAAGGCAGTGGAAAATTACCAAAAGGATCACGTCCCCAAAAAGATCACGCCATCAAAAAGATCACGCCAGCTTGGTACAGTACAACCAAAAGTTGGCCAAGGCCTATAAAAGAATCGCAGCAGCACAAGGCGAGGGCTGTGTGAATATATAAGCGAGTCTGCGCGAACCTATAAACGAGAGAGAATCGATCTGTGCAAAAAGTGAAAGTGAGTCGGTCGCAATCCTAAAGACAACGAGATACGTGAACGCAAGATACGAAGGACGAGTGCAAGGGCACTGTGTATTGAAGGACTCAAACAGAACACAAGGATCAGTTCAAGAATCACAGGACATCGAGGTCCTGAAATTAGGTGCGAAATGTATATCCTTGCCACGCTCGAATGGCAACTGGCGATATCCGCGAAGAGCCAAGTGAAGCAAGCGAGGCTTGGCCTGTGATTAGCCAGAGAGTGAGACACGCAAATCCTGACTCACAGGTGTACTAGAGGCAGGTTCCTTTGGGAACAAGGAAACCGCTAGTCATGGTGAGCAGCTGGTGTGCTGGACGGAATATCTGGCGGGCAGACTGAGATCCCGGAGTTGCGTAGCTGATGGGCGGAGTGCCTGGGGCAGATTCTTGCGCACAGGAGCTCGAATCAAACCTGACCAAGGACACCGATGAATTTCGAGATGCCACTGAACGAGTAGCCATTAAGTGATCAGATACTAACATTGGAAAGTGTAATTTCCAACAATATAAGTGCGATAAATAAAATTAAGTTGAATATATATATATATATATATATATACCCTCTGTTTTAATATACATTTTTTGCTCGAATTCTCAGATCGACTGAAATAATTTAGAACACATAATATATATTAAAAAAAAAAACAATAATAATAAAAATAAAAGTGCTAGATATGGAGCAGAATTCGATGTGGAATTATCCGGAACTTTGGATGCTATGCGCAGACAATTTGGAGAGTGGGTGAGTACTCACGAAAACAGATTGCCATATAGCACAAGATTGGAGGAACTGGCGGCGATTCATGGCAGACAATCGGCGGCTAGAGAAACAGAAAATGTTGCGGATGCGAGAGAGTCGACGAATATAAATTTCGCCCAGCTGAGCATCCCGGCAACCAGCGCAGCAGCGCGGGCTCGAGACGCCAATCAGACTCTTTGGCAGGTTGCGTCCACACCACAGCCACAAAGAAAAATGTCCACAAACGAACAAACGACACGAACTGTGTCCCAGAAATACCCCAAAGTAGCGAAGCAATTCCGCGAATGGAATTTTCGTTTCGGCGGCACCACTCATTCCCAGGGCCATGCCCGAATTACTGCAGGGGATGGCTCTTAAGTGGTACATAGCCAACAACCAGCACTGGACGAGATGGGTAGCATTCGTCCAATGTTTTCAGGAGTATTTCCTTCCAAGAGACTACTTCGAAAATTTGAAGGACGAACTTACCCGTGACCGATGCCCAGCCAAGTCAACGGGGATCTAGGATCGTGTGGCGTGAGGGGTGCCAAAACCGAGTAAAGACATCGATGCGAGGCACGCGGGTTTTCCACAGGGAATAAAAATAAATAAAAATAAAAATAAAATAAAACAACAAAAAAACACAGACATTCAATAATAATTTTTTTTTGGTACAATTCTTGGTCCACTCTAAATTAGTTGTTGGTGATTAGGTGGCCGCTCAAGCGAAGAAGGCCACTCAAAACGAATCACGAAATCGCTCACTCAAGAAGAGCTCAGCAAGAAGCTTTTCAATAAGCGCACGGTTCAAGCGAGGTCTCGTTGCGGGCAAACTGTCAAGGTTATTGAAGGAAAGAAGTCGTGTACTTAGCAAATCGACAGTGTATAAAACATAAAATAAAACACGTGATTGTAACTCCAAAGAGTATTACAGAGTATTTTATATATACATTGTGAAATTTATAAATTTATACGACAATGAACATATTAATATAAAAAAAATTTAACGATTACATTTCTTACTATCAGTGATTACGCGAGACACTCAAAGTAATTTAGAGCATTTCGCCAATTGCGAAATTAGCTTGTCGAATAGTGCTAAATTTATCAGAGGATTTATGATCTGCTCAAACTTTATGATCTGTTCACACATAATAAACTCGGAATTATTTGATTGCAAACTGTTTATTGTCTCCTGGACAGTAGAGAATATCCGCTCAATCGGGATCCGTGAGATGAAGTTGCTCTCTTGGGTTAAACACTCATCCGCACTTCCGTCCCGCTGACTAGCGACGCTTCCGATGTCGACTCAATGGAATAAGGCCAACTAATTGCAACCTTGACGGGTTATATCATTCCCTCGGTGTAAATTATTAACCGCGTGTAGCTTGCTAGAAATAGTGGCAGGTCTGGTATTTTCTCTTTCCCAAAAAAAATTGCCTAGAACGGTTTGAATTGGTTCGGTCGAATGCTTTTCTTTTACCAATTGTGGTTTTAGTCACTGTCGATTTGCTATGGACACGACTTTTTTCTCTCAATAATCTTGACAATTTGACCGCAACAAGACCTCAGCTTGAACCGTACGCCTATTGAAAAGCTTCTTGTGCTGCTTTTTGAGTTGTTCAATTTTTTTTTAGGTTATCTGCTTATCTATTCGCTTGAGCCGCCGCCTAAGCACCAACAACTAATTTCGAGTGGACCAAGAATTGTGCCAAAAAATGTTAAAAGATAATTACCCGACATAGTACAAAATTTCCGCAAAACGACTCGTTACAAATAGTTATTTATAGTTGATTTTCTAACTTTGAAAAAGATGCATGGGAGCGTCTTGAGACTATGTTTTATTTTTTCGCAAATTAGTTAAGGATTTTTCCACAAAAGCTATACCTCTTTATGACTTGGTGAGAAGACAAGAAATTTGAATTCGGAGCTGTTGAATTAGAATGCTTTGAAAAATTAAAATATCTTGTAGAAGGAATTGACAGAAATCAGATCCGATAGAACCGCATTGCGATGTTAGTGCGATAGGGTTCGGATGGATCCTGATACAGAAAAAGGGTGATGGAAAATTATATTCAGGATTTTACTTTTCTAAGCGTCAAAGACGTTAGTAAAGTACCTCAACATTAATTTGGAAAACTTTTCAAATATACAAAAACGACTATACTGAACAAAAAAGAGCTAATCACTTGAATGATACGTTGGGCTAGTACATGTTAGAGCATATATCGGGGAACAGAATGTAACACGTGGATGCGCTTAGTAGAAACGTTAAAATGTTGGCAATAGACACAAATATATTGGAAGAAAATTTAATTATCTTCCAAAATAGAGGTAACAAACTGCTAAAGTTAAAAAAAGATTTACAAAGTACAGAACACAGGTATTCTGAAATGAGAAATTGCATAATTTACAGAAAGAAATACAGCAATAGCCTTTTGTTTTGTATGCCTGAAGAAATGGAAAGTTATTTTCTTTATAAATACCATAACGAATTCGGACATATTGGTATAGACAAGATGGTAGACATATCAATAACTTACTGGCTTGCAAACATCAAGGCTAAGACAATGATACATATTTGAAACTGTTTCCAGTGTATACGTATATATATCACTTTGGCCGGTTGACACAGGTACGTCGAACAAACACATAAAGTAGGCGTTTTCACAAAATTTGTTAGGCTCTATCCAACTTATAGATGGAGAAAAAACTAACATTGGGAAGTAGTGGTGGAAACAGTCGTACACACAATAGACAACACGATTCAATGGACAATAAAACAACATTCTAACAAAATGCTATTTGGAATAGAGTAAGAAAGAAAGATTCTCGTTCGCAAAAGTTTGAAAAATATGTTGGATCGTGCAGATTTTTCTGAAGGAATTCGATCAGATAAAGACGCTCATCAAAATTACGTTGAGGCATACAACAAGCAATTGACTCAATACTCATATTGGAATTCGCTCAGGAGATGTAGCAGGAAAAGTATTCATAGCACTAAGTACAACAATGCAGTACAATACACTACACGCTTGCATCTCGCACTTTATGCCATCACGCTCAACACAACTATAGATAGGTAACAATATATAATAATAAAGATTATAATAATAAGCTTATAAAATATCAAAGAAATGAAATAGCCTTCTTCAACGTCATCCGTTGGATCTAATTAGACATTTTCAGCTTCGAATAGCATGTGGTCAAGTAGTTCCATTTGGGTCTGCATGATAGCCGCAACAGTGAACAGTCGTTCAATACGACGCTTATACTCAGCGTGCTTAATGCTTTCGGATTTTTCGGATGCTTTCAATTTCACTTTGTGGTCCAAAATACGTTTTATGTTCTCGGCAACTGTGCGGTTATGCCGCTTGTAGGCCATTTTGAAAATTGCCATCCTTTGAAAGAATTTAAATATGGCGGCGTATTCGACTCTCAGGAATTGCAGAAAGTTAATATTTTCTTCATGTTTCTCATCTCGCATACGCTTTGCACGCGAAAAATAATCGTTAATTATTGAAACAAATAGATTTGTCATCAGCAAGGCAACGAAAAATGCCAAAATTAGATATAAAACCAAGCCCAGCAACCGACCACCATAAAATAGATCATTTGGCGTGATTTGTGAGCTGAAGCCAAAAGAAAAGCACAACGACGATATAATACTCTTGAACAGCTGGCTAAAGCTATCCGCATTGTTTCCATTTATAGTGACAACTGCAATACCGAACCCCACTAAAAATGTTAGAATTATCATGGCAGTACTAGCCAGCGCCTGCCACGCTGAGTACAACGTGGAAGCGAATAGTTGAAAGACGCTGGCAAACTGCAGCACACGCCACAAACGCATGGTGGTAAGGCAGACAAGAAAGCCAAGCATGTTGCGGGTCCATTCATGCAGGCGGGTAGGCATACGGAAGTCAAGAAACTCGAGTTTGCTGGAACTCTCGACCTTTGCAAGCAGCTGCGATACCATAAATTCCTGTACGCTTACTAGAATAATCACTGTGATGTTGAGCACAAAGATAATCAAATCCAACTTGGTCCACATGCTGCGCAGCTTGATCGGCTCATACCATATCACCATAACCAAAGCCTTGAAGAATTGTATGACCACAATTATGTAGATGATCAGTACGATGAGGCCACCTTTTCCCAGCTGCGCAACGAAATGCAGTTTTGCACTGATTATCCTTGCGTTGGACAGAATAGTCCCAAAGGGCGTTTGTTCCACGAGTAAAGTGCATATGGTGAAGATATTCGCATCGGCATTGAAGAGAGTAAAATCCATGAAAACTGCCGTTGTTTTCCACGTAAGCCAATGCTTCTCCTGGAGGTATTCAATCACCCTCATACTATTGTCATAGCTGTTTGAGAGCAGTGTTACATAGCCCTCCATCTCCGGATAGCTCTGTAAATAACCGGGATAGTTATAGTTGAAAAAAAACTTATCGGTTCTACTGTAAGTCGGACTAATGGGCAGCCAGGGCTCATAGATGCGCCAATATTTGTCTGTGTATGATATTCGTTCATAAGGTAACTTCCATTTGGGCTTATAGTCGAGACTTGAAAACTCGACTGGTTTCCAGCCCGTGTGCGAATTTTCTTTTCTGCGCAGCTGACGCAGTCGCACCACTCCCAACATGCTAGTGTGATCGCCATACAAAATATGAAGATTTCCTATGTTGGTGGCATTCGTTTCGAAGGCCTTCACAAGTGAGATCTCAATGAACGGATAGAGTTGATCGAGTCTATTCACATGTTTCAGTCCCATGGTGTACGTGTGATTGTTCATAAAAAAGTCATTCAGTACGTTGCTATTGAAGTAGAGCAATTCGTCTTGGGTCACCAGCACCAGGCACATCAGTAGGAAGAAATACTTCCCATATAGCCACAGATCGTGTGCAATATTCTGATATCTCAAATTCAGTTTCTCGTTCCGATGATCCTCCGTTACCAGCAGCCGATAGCGCAACGAATTTAGCCGCATCTTTAGGTAATCCGTGCGAGTGTGGAGTTTTGCCTCACTATCCGTGGTGAAGGCAGACAACTTGCGCGGCCAGAAGGCCTCATCAATCGCCAACAGCAGGAATTTGATTGTATCAGCAACAAGGAATAGCATTACAGTCACCATGAAAACGTTCACCAGAATCGAGATTATCTTCTGTTTCTCATGGTTAAAGCCAGAAAAACGTATTACGAAACCCACACAAATGAGTATTATAAGGATGGTCGTCGCGAAAAATAATTTATCCTTTTTTAGAAATGCTTTCATTTTGAACTAATTAGGTTTCTCAATAAATTTATACAATTCTAATGACATTACTATTTGACTAATGCCTGTCAATGTCAAATAAGTTATTACAGGAGAAACACAGAATAGCAGTGTGGGATTTAATATCGGAGAGAAACGGACAAAAACAGTAAAATCTATCAGTCAACCTCATTGCACCGATACTTTTGAGAGTAAGTAATTGAGTCAGTGGCGATATCAGTAATGTATTGATATCTGAAGGGCATCGAAAGTCTGTTGGTTGCAACCTGAGTTAGAAGACGGACGTATTATTAAGCTTAAGGTCAAAAACATATTTAAGTACAAAGAGCCGAAGCAAACTGTTATAACTCTTCAGGGGCAAACATAGTCAAAGCGGCAACCGAGTGGTAGAACAGCAAGAAGTTTGGGGATTAAGATACAGATATTGGTAGAAACTGCAATTGATATGAACATCGGTTGGCATAGACGTTAAAATTAAATTAGAACGATTGATTAAGTAAATTGCTTAATTGGAAGAGATTATAGCACTGGTCGCTGTAGAGCTGCAAACTGTCAAATAGATTTACATATAGTTGGCATAAAGTGCGGATTAGAAGACTACTGACTGACTTCGGTGATCGGGATGATGGGAGTCATCCTCATGATCAATCTCATCACTAGTTACCACTTTAAATTGTCCCAGCTTGCAACACCCCAAAATAGTTATTGATTGAAAGATGTTGAGGGCAGCATGACAAATTTGCTATCAATATTTTGTCAGAAGAAGATTGGTTCAATATGTTCAGAAAGAGGAGAGACGTTATATGAATAATTGTATGCTTTGATGGATATAGCAAGTCTTGTCAAAGTAGATAGAGTTGGGTAGAGTATTTTATATAGCATATTCCAGATTCTACCGCAAGGAAAATGTTCCAGGCCAGAAATGTAAACGTGTTAAAGACTCAGACTGAGGTAAAAACTCGTTAAGCGTCTAAGACTGCAATCAAACATGAACCACATGCTGACGAATTTGTTAGTCAACCCAGCGTAGATGCGAAAGCTGAAGGGAATTGTTTTAAAAGTGGTGTTTCTTCGTGTGTAAAAAGAAATTTTCCCAAACTGAATTTCAACTGTTTCAGTTATGGCCAAGCAGGTCGCCGGGCAGCATAATGCAAATATAAATCAATAAGCAGATAAGCACCCTGTAATGGTGCGGATATTTAATACCCAAATATAATTTAATTGATGCATGCACATATTAATGGCGGCGTATGTAATTGCAGATGTTCAATGACATATACATGTTGTTTCGGCCTCAAGTAAACGCAATAATAAATATGTTGCTCGAACCCGCAGCTCGACTGAGTTTTAGCTTAGCTAAAACACAACCGAGTAAAAAGGTTCGTTAGAGCTGGCGCTCAACTTTGGTGGTTGCAATAAATTAAAGCACATAATATATATTAAAATAAAATAAAATAAAAATGGCGTGGGTGTACAATTTAAAGAAAAAAAGATGAAGTGCTGAAATATGGATCAGAATTCGAAGTGGAGTTATCCGGAACTTTGGATGCTATGTGCAGACAATTTGGAGAGTGGGTGAGTACTCACGAAAACAGATTGCCATATAGCACAAGATTGGAGCAACTGGCGGCGATTCATGGCAGACAATCGGCGGCTAGAGAAACAGAAAATGTTGCGGATGCGAGAGAGTCGACGAATATAAATTTCGCCCAGCTGAGTATCCCGGCAACAAGCGCAGTAGCGCGGACACGAGATGCCAATCATACTAGGTCATAAGTAGGAAAACAATAGCCTGAATAGCAGCACGCTACTATTGGCCAGGCTTATACAGAGACGTACGAGCATATGTCCAACAATGCGAAATATGTCAACAGTATAAGCCAAGTCAAATGACTCAGATACCGGAGGAACCCTGGAGCACAGGGTGTGTTGACTTCGTGGGACCATTACCGAGATCGACCCACGGAAACACGATTTTGTTGGTCTTTATAGACCGCTTCTCGAATGGACTCCGAAGCGCTACTACAGCAACGCTCCAAAAGGCCTTCAGGGAAAGGATTTTAGCACGGCTTCGAGTATCAAAAGTATTAATAACCGACAACGGAACACAGTTTACAACCAGGGCATTTAAAAAATTCCTAGAGGAGATGGGAGTCAAACACCAATTCACAGCGCCCTACACTCTAAAAGAAAACACTACGGAACGCGCGAACCGCATGGTGAAAATAATGATCACACAATTCACGAAAGATAACCAAAAACGTTGGGATCAGGCAATCAACACCAGCGTCTCAAGCTCCACCGGGTACAGCGCGGCGTTCATCACACAAAGCCGAGAGCCTAAGCTTCCAAAAGCGTTGTTCGACGAAATGACAGTCGGAACAGACCAAGCAGCTCAAACACCGTCCGACAATGACAGAAAATTAAAGGAAGTATTCGAAATTGTCCAGCGTAGTTTAGAAAAGTCGGCACAGGACCAAGCAAGGCACTACAACCTGCGTCGTAGACCGTGGAAACCCATATCGGAGACGGAGTGTGGGTGAAATTACACCACCTATCAAATGTAACAGAAGGATTCGCAGCGAAGCTAGCACCGAGATCAAATCCATATCAAATTGTGGATTTTACATCACCCGTAATGTGCAAAATAAAGAGCATAACGGACAGGCGGAGAAGGACAGCACACGTGAGTGACCTGAAGCCGCACAGCGACTAAAAGGAAACGGGTGAGCCTAAAACACGCATACCTTTAATACCATATGCAAATAAGATAACAATTACAAAGGTCACAAATTCACAAATGAATGTGGTTCTACATAAGAATCCATAACATATTTATAAATTAGTAAAAACCCAAAAAGGAAGGGTAAACATATAAATTAATAAAAACCAAAAAAGGAAGGCTATAAAGGAGAGGATATACATAAAGGTAAATAAAAACTCAAAAAGGAAGGGTAGACATAAAATTAATAAAAATAAAATTAATAACATCATAAAATTTAGCAAAACAGCAGCATGAGTGGACACCAGTCAACAATCGTGGGTATCAGCGGATCGGCATCTGGTCGTCGCCGCGCATCGGACACAAATCTGTACATCCGGCCCAGCGGAGCTGGGATTCCGTGCGAGGAGAGAGCCGGTCCGAGTGCACGCGCGGCTACTGGTCGTCATCCGCGGCGCTCACAAGGAAGAGTGGTGCTCGTGGTGCGCATCACGGGACGCTGAATTCTGCGTCGCATCGCGTAAGAGCAACGCAATCGGGAGCACGACGAAATCGAGCTGCTGGCGTCACCGTTACATGCTACAATAGACGCAGGTTTTCTGGAAGCCGCCGAGGAGATGCTGCCACGATCCCGACGCTGTCCCAGCGACATGGATGAAGTGAATCCGGAGTGGATTCACTGGCAATATCCGGAACTGCCACCGACGCCGGAGGACGATCACACCGCAGTACGGTTCGCCAAGCCCCGCACCGACTCATGAACGTCGGCAGAGCTAGCCGAACCGAACGAGGGCATTTCGGAGGCCTCACAAGGGGCCCGGGCCGAAGACCCGGGGGCGCTGGGCAAGGACGCGCCAATCGTCGTGTCATCTGAGGACGAGGAGGAAGCGGACAAAAAGCGGCGAACGCCGGAGCCAGTCGTGAGCCCCGACAACGAAGACATCATGCCATTCACGCCGTTGGCACGACCCGACGCAGAACCCGAGGTGATCGTCATATCAGACGATGAAGATGACGAGGAGCGGCGCGGAGAAGGAGGAGGTGCCTAGGGGCATGGCGAGCGGCAGCAACCACCGTGACCGCAAAATATGCGAGGGCCTTCGCGGAGGGCCGATGCGTGTGCTGCCATGACACTGATATGTGTTTGGGAGGAGGAGGTGGGGTTGCCAGCAGCATGGCAGATGGAGGAGGTGCGACCACCCGCAGGCCCGAACCCCCCACAGCCAGTCCCGAGGCATCCAGACCCGCCGTGGAATTCCCACGAGTGCTAGACCCCCCAAGCCGACGCTCCAGCGACAGAGCGCGAACCCGGAAGGAGAGGCTGGGTGGCAGGGGCTGTCACCGTCGGCGTGGCCACCTGGTATCATGATGATGACCGATGCCGAGCCAGGACCAAGTCGACGGGGATCTAGTGTGGTATGAGGGGTGCCGATACCAAGTAAAGACATCGAAGCGAGGCACGCGGGTTTTCCATAGGGAATAAAAAAAAATTATAATAAACAAATAAAAACAAAAAAAAAAACCCCGATTTTCTTACTATTTATATTTTCAGCTCTCTTTTATCTTTAAATTGGAAAGTGGAAGCTTTCCACTGCCGATGAAAGAAGGGAGTGTGAGGAGCCATATAACCATGCATGTGTGAGTGTGCATGTATATATATGTATATGTACATTTATGATTATAAATATATATAGAAATATATTTATGTTCATGGATGTGCATGCGAAAAGCCCGCTAGCAGGTATTCAATGTTATATGCGCCCCTCATCATAACTGTCTATCAGGCCGAAAACCGTGTATATGCGCGCAGCCTCTCGTGTTTAATCGCACAGCTCCTTTTATAGGCCGTGGCTGGCCATCTTTTGTCGGGACTGTACCTCGGTGGCGTGGAGGTGGTGGGGGGTTATGTTTTGACTTTTTTTTTATTGTTTTTAATATTTTTTTTGTTGTATTAGTATTTTGGGTGCTACTCCTTGCGGAAGACGCGCGTGCCGCGCATTGACGTTTTTACCCGATAGTGGTGCCCCTCCTGCCACACGATCCTGGACGCCCGTCCACTTGGTCCTGGCTGGGCATCGGCCATCTCCGTGATGCCAGGTGGCCAAGCCGACGGTGGCAGCTCGTG